TCAGTAAAGTCAATGGGAAGAAAGCGTCTGATAATAAAGGGAAGAAGAAGCGGGCGACTCTCACGTACACAGCTGCACGTCTGCATGAGAAAGGAGTTCTGCTGGAGATTGAAGACCTGCCCGTCACACAGTACGACACACACACACACTTTACAACACAGATCCCATGCTCAATGCTGATTGGTCGATACAGTGCTCAAATACACTGATTCTGATCTGTCTGCAGGTTCAAGAACGTGATCTTTGACATTGTTCCCGGCGAGGAGGACGGCACGTTCCTGGTGAAGGCTCGTTTCATGGGTGTGGACATGGAGAGATTCCCGCTCAAATATCAGGTTCTGAGGGTTTTATTGCTGCAGAGCGTCTCCAGATGTGTTCCTCCTCCGTGATAGAGACATGAGGAATAATCCGTGTTTGTGTGCAGGATCTGCTGCAGCTGCAGTACGAGGAAGTCGCCGTGATGAAGATGTTTGATAAAGCCAAAGTCAACGTCAATCTGCTCATCTTCCTCCTCAACAAGAAATTCTTCAAGAAGTGAATTGATTCCTGTGTTCCTGTAGCACTCGGCACTGGTTTGAACACACTCCAGTTAAACCTGCTGCTTTATTTTCCCAGTGTAATAATTCTGCATTTATTTGATTACCCAAAATCACTCTGGATATATTCATGACGCTATCATATATATATATATATATTCAATTATGAATCATTTGCATTTAAAATGAAGCTTTACTTTATTCGAGTGAATCACAGAAGACGTGTGAGAAGAACACTAGTAATACTAGTTATCCAGCGGTTATCAGGTGAAGTTCACCTGCGCTCTTTCAAGCTCTTTTAACGCTAATTTAGTGGAAAGTGTCTTTTGTGTAAATATTTTCTGTCTCTAATGAAATATCTTTGTATTCTTTCCTCGTCCTCTCGTCTGTTTTTATGTCGTTTATTAGTGTCCAGTCACTCTTTTAATAAATACGCTGTTTTTATTCACAATAAAACGTTTTGCATGAATAAACAGTGTTTGTGTCTCATTGTGCATGTTTTGTTCTTGAGAAATATTTGATATTTCTCACGCTGGTGGTTCTTATTAAGGGGTTTCATCTGATTCACCTGTTTTTCTGGCAGTGGTTACTGAAGCATGTTTCTGAATAGAAATCAGAAGAACTGAGACATCTAAATGAAGCATTAGGATCATCTTTTCAGGAGAAACTGAATCTGCCTTTATATTTGAGTCGTGTCTGGTGCTGAGGTTTGATGACCGCTGCGTGCAGAGAGGATTCACTTGGAACAGATTTGGCACAGTTTGTTGAGTATGAAGAGAGATCTAAACTGGTCTGATCAGAGTCGGTCTTGTTTTCGCTTTCATTATCTCGTTTTTACATGTTCATTATACATCTGGATTGATCTGATCTTTTTATTTATTTTATTAGTTTGTCAGTAAAACTATCAGGTTAAATAACTGCTGTAATTTCAAAATCCTAGAGTTTTACTGTTTTCCTGTGTGGTGCTTTTGTGAATTAACCATAATTTGATTTATTTTTTCTAAAAAAAAAAAAAAACGTATTAATCCATACAACTGCAGCAGTGGAGGACTATTATTCTGCTGCATGGCACTGTGGAAGAACTGATGACGGCACCGTTTGATCTTCAGCTGACCAATCAGCAGAAAGGGGCGTTTAATTCAGTGTAGAAATCAAATATTCAAGCTGTTTATTCATTTTTCTACCCCTGAGCTAAAAAGTCAAATTTAAGCTGAATTCTCTTTTTTTTCAATTTTTGGACAAAAAACCGAAAAAGGAGCCGTTTTCTAATTTTTCTACTTTCAATACACGGATTCTAGAGTATTACTGTTTTCCCGTTTGGTGTTTTTGTGAATTAACCATGATTTTTCTCTTCTTGGGTTATTATAGTTTAAATAAAGTGAAGGTTAATTTAAAAAAAATAACATCCCATCTGTCAGTAAAATTATCAGGTAAAATATTTAGAATTTTTAAATCCTAAATTGTTTTCCAATTTGTTGTTTTTGTGAATTAACCAAGACAAATTTGTACCAGAAGTGAGCTAAACCTTTTTGTAAAAACCCTGAAGTGTTAAAAGCGCATAAGAATCAAGTGTTGGTTAAGTTTAAATAGTGAAACTGCCAGGGTTAGTGTGAGTTAGGTTATTTATAACCAGCTGAACAATAGAAATCTCTGCAATGACCTGCTTGTAGTCTATCTGAGCAAACCTGTGAATAATAACTCATAACTCCTCAGACAGATGAATCACTGCACATTCTCTGCAGGTCTAGAGGAGGAGTTTCTCAATGAGTCTCACCTGAAGAATGACAAGAACCCAGACCAGAGAAACACCAACGACAAGGTAACACGATCTCTACACATTATCATTCATCTTACAGGACTTAGTGACTTTAAACAGGTAGATCTGAGTGTTGTATGAAGTTGAGACTATCATCTTCACTTACTCCTCTTCTTCTTCTTCTTCTTCTTGAAGCTTCATTAAGACAGCTGTATAGGGTGACTTCTCAGTAGCTAAAACTGTCCCAGTTTGTCTGACCTCATCCATGTAGTTGATAAAACATGTATAGGAAGAAATGAGATTGAAACCCTGTCGTTTGGAGCTTGTGCCGCTTGTATAAAGATCTCAAATTGGCCCAATATCTGTAAACCGCATGATAAATATCAACACAAAAGATTCAGTGAGTCAGCTTTAAATACGTCAACTTCAACCTTCAGAACTGAAGCTAGATTGAGAGCAATGAAACGATCTGTGTGTCTGAGAGAATCCGCAGGTTCATCTGGTTTTTCTGCTTGAAGAATGTGGTGAACAATGATTTTTAGTTCTTCAGCTGAAGGAATGAAGACACGGGTGATTGTGAAACTCACATTAGTGTGTGTGTGTGTGTGTGTGTGTCTGTCTCTCTCTCTCTCTCTCTCTCTCTGTGTGTGTGTGTCTTTCTGTGTGTGTGTGTGTGTGTCTCTCTCTCTCTCTGTGTGTGTGTGTGTGTGTGTGTGTGTGAGTGAGTCTCTCTCTCTGTGTGTGTGTGTGTGTGTGTGTGTGTGTGTGTGTGTCTCTCTCTCTCTCTCTCTCTCTCTGGGTGTGTGTGTGTGTGTGTGTGTGTCTCTCTCTCTCTCTCTCTCTCTCTGGGTGTGTGTGTGTGTGTGTGTGTGTCTCTCTCTCTCTCT